TAATATGTGTTGCCTTTTCTCATGTAATGTTATCTTTTATGAATGGGTTGTCTAGTTATAATAAGATACCAATAGCTCTAAAAGAAGAATAGTATATGACAATTCATACCTCTATCAATATTTTTTCTATAAGCTTATGCATTTTGGTTTTAAGAATGTCATGACAACCTATCAACATGTTATAATTCACATATTTGATGACCTATTACATCACCTAGTCAAATGGTACATAGACGATGTGGTGGTTAAGAGTCATTCCGAAGAGGATCATCTTTTTGAGCTAAGAGTTATTTTTGAGTGTCTTAGGAAGTATGATCTGAAGATGAAGCTATTTAAGTACATAGTTGGTATAACTTTCAAGAAATTTTTTGGCTTTATTGTTTGCTATAGAGGTATTGAAAATGATCATAGTAAAGATAAAATCAATCATATATATGGAACCTCCTAAGAGTTTCAGGCAATTGTGTTCCCTTTAGAAAAATTTGTGGGTATTTTTTGGTGATTAAAGGTTATTTTGCTAATTTTGAAAAAAATTTTGGGTAGGGTGAACATACAAGCCATGAAGCTACCCTAAAGCCATAGAATCCATAGGAGAACTCATTTTATACCCTCCATATGTTGGTCCTAGCCATCTTAGCAAAAGGCCAATGACGTGAGACCTCCTATATGAGTTTCCAAAAGGAGCTAGGAGGTAGGTTCAAGTGGAAGTGATTTAGGGCTTAGAGTGTGTGGGTTTGTGGTTGGTTTAAGTGTATGTGTGCAAGAGACAAAAATCAAGCCACCCAAGGTCATCCTAAGGCTCCATTGATCCTATAAGAGTTCTCTTTGATCTTGCTCATGTTGGTTCCAACCTTCTAAGTGCTAGATGTTAGAACTATACACAAGAAAGATTAAGGAAGGGTTTAGAATTTCTAAGGAACATAAGTTCCATCACTAAGCTTCTAAGATAGTCCACAGGTATGTGTTATGGCTAGATCTTAGGCTTCTAGAGAGGAGAAACCCATACCTCGCCAAAAATGAGGTCAAAAGCTTGCATATCTTTTCTTCATTTGAGAACTTTTGGTGTTTTTGAAATTTATGAAGAAGTAGGGACTTCCGTTGGTGAATTTGAATAATTCCATAACCAACAAGTACACATCTACATTATTGCTTTGCCTCATTTCCTTGCATTGTAATTATTTGACCTTTCCTATGGCCTCCAAAACTAAGGGTGGAAAATCCAAATTTTCTTCTGATAAGAAGAAGTTTGTTAGCTCTGAAGCTCATAAGCGATACAATGACCTCTTAGTGTCAAAAAAGTTGATATCAGAGAGTGGAATTTTTAATCTAGGGGGAGAGGTTGAAAGAACAAATAAAACTAAGAAATGGGAAAATTTTTGTTATAGCCCCTCTGTCATTGTGATACCAGTGATAAGAGAATTTTAGGCTAATCTACCTAAAGCTTTGGACTAATTTGTATTTGTGAGAGAAACTTATATAGATATTTCTTCTTCCTACACCAATGTATTCTTGTCTTTGACTGATCTCTCTTATTATTTCAATGCTGATTCTTTTTTTACTAATGCTTATCTTGATGAAGCTATGAAATTCTTAACTTACTGTAGAGGTGAGTGCAAAGTTAGGGGGGATTTAAGATCTAATCCTTCTCACCACACCCTAGAATAGCACCAAATTGCGAACTTAAGATAGCTAAAATAGATGAAAACATATGTCCACACATACACCTAAATAATCAATTCTAGAAGCCTTAGGTTAGTTTATTAAGTTCCCAATAAATAGACTTAAGGACTAAGACCTATAAAACAAATTGACCCAACCCCTTAGACTATAAGAGTATCCTAGAATGAAGTATCCCATGTTATGAATGAAGATACTTAAAATCACTTTATAGCGGAAAGGACTACCTTAAGTTATTATTATGACTATAAGGTAGAACTCATGTTATTCTACTAGTTAATAGTTTAAGGATATTAATCTACCTGGGATGATGGAATACCATGGACATCTTAACTGGCTGTGTTACTCCATGATTTAGGTTAGTCCACATATAGTCTCTAGTTTAGAGAGGTTTAGGTTAGGGCTTCAACTCGATCTAGAAATATATTACCCTTTCCTACCCATAGATTAGAATGTTTCCAAACTCAATCTAATCAAACTTAACTCTATCCAATCAAACTTAACTCAATATTTTTCAAAATCAAACTCAACCTAACTCTAACTTAGCCCAATCCTTTCAAACTTGGCTCTACCCAATCCAAATCCATTCAAATCAAACCAGATCAAATTGAATTCAACTTCAATTTTTTTTCTCAAACTTAACTCTTGATTCAAGCTTTGTACCATTAATCTGACTATCAACTGTTGGTCCAATCGTTAAGGGTGCAAACATTTTAAGAACTCAAGTGAAGTCAACCATTTTCTATGTCTACCCCTTTTATGTATGTCTTCAACTCTATCATCTCACAAGCATTCATTGATGAATAAGAAATATATAAGGCATAACTTTAACCGAGACTATTCTTAAGGATAATTCTTTAGATGTAATTAATTATGAGAGTGCCTTTTCATAAGAATACTATGCCCCATAATAAAATAAACTTTATATTACGCTTAGAAGGTAAGGGAAAGATCCTGGTTTCATAGATTCAAAAATCACAAAGAATTATCTCATCTGAATGGTTAGATTCATTTTAAGGTAAAATTTCTATTCTCCATAATAGTATATTATTCTTTGAATATCTTATTTGATAATTTAGATGGAAATCTTTTGAGGCCAATTGTGGCCCTAACAATAAAAAACCACACCAATGGCCAAATATTTTCAATTTTAAAGTAGTTTCAAAGACGATTAGGGGGTACATAGCAAGTTTCTATGGTTATTTTATAGAGACTCTGCTGACTAAAATAAGGGGCTCTAAGGTGTATACTGTGTGACTTTGAATTATTTTGGAGAGTGTTCATAGTGAAGAGAATGAGTGTGAGAGCATTAAAGAGAACACCCAAGTGAGAAAAAGGGAAGATGAGAAGAAATAGTTCACAGAGAAAAATTTCATCCTACATTGTATCTTCTCTTTTACTCCTTTTACTTTTTCTTGCAAATTTTAAATAAATGTATCTTGTAATTATGTTTTATCTAGTAGAAGCATGAACTATGTTTATAAAACTTTTGGTTTATGACAAATCCTTACATTGAGAATTTTGAAAGATAAATGTGTCAAATGTTAAATTATTGTTTTGATTTTTCTCCAAACTTTTGCCCGTATATAAAATTCAAATCAAGTATGCTCTATTAATTACTATGGAGTCATAAAAGAACAAGTAGGAAGAAATTGATAATTTTCTTTTGTGAATGGACATCCTCTAATCATATATTTGCAATATAAAAGAAACATTTTAATGCAATGGTCAAGATTGTTAGTATAAAGAGACTATAAACTAACTTTATTATTGATTGAAAATTAAAAGTTAAAAACTTCAATATAAGAATTTCAGTAAACCGGTTAAGATGAATCACAAATCCAGATTGTTATCTCATTTTCATGTATTATTTGCTGTTATGGTATATGGTCATATATGCCTATAGTTTCATCTGGTCATTTCATTTTACTTGTATAAAATCGCTTATCAAGCTTTCGCAAATTCATGTGTCATTTCATTTTACTTGTATAAAATCGCTTATCAATCTCGTCTAATCATTAAAGTTTCATCTGGTCATCTCGTACAATCATTATAAGCTTCATCTTGAAGAACAATTATATAATTAAAATATCAGCAAAGATATTCTTAAAGTATACATTTCATACATCATTTTATTCAGACATTAATTATTAAAAATAAGCAAAAATATTTATAAAAATTGAAGTGCCGGTTTAAATTCTAAGATCTTTTAAAGATTTTAAAATATAAAAGGCTGAATTTTTAAAACGGTAATTTTATCAATCTAAATTAGATAAATCAGCACTCAAAAAAAATTTTAAAATTATTTATGGTCACCTAAACTATTGGGATTTAGGGTCTGTTTAGGGTAGCTGCAGCTTATTGAATAATCTGCTGATAAACTGATTAAAAATAATCTGTCGATAAGCTTGGCACAGTGGCTATTACAAACTTTTATTTTTTTGGAAAATATTGGCCACAGTCAGAAAGCTGTCATCGCACCTAGTTGTCATCGCACCTAAATAGGTGCGGTGTGAAAGTATTGTTTTCAGCGTTTTGAAAACGCATAAGTTGTCGCATTGTTTTCAGCGTTTTGAAAACGCATAAGTTGTCAAAACGCAATTTACCTAAACCAGACTAGGTGCGTTTTCAAATTATCACCACATCTAATAAGTTGCCCCGAACGGACCGTCAGCCTCCACATATTTGAGGGTAATCATTAAACCATGGGCCGACTTGCAAAGATAAATATTTTTAAAAAGAATTTTTAAATCAACGCAAATTGCCTAGGGAGTAAGTTTTTTGCATTTACCATACAAGTCTTGCGTATTTACAGATCCAACACACAAAGAGCATCGTAATCGAACAAGAATTGACTGAGCAATATGTGTTTATTTAGTTGTTACAAGTCCATCTCTTTTAACAATATTTATATGTGTAAGTGGGACCATGGTTTCTAGCCCCAAGTATGTGGGAATTCAGTATACATTTATAAATTTTTCTTTTTGAGTACCAATTTATTTAATTTAATATAATAAAATAACAGTTTTAAAATATTTTAAACAAGGAACCTCTTTAATGCAATGAAAGGGCAACAATAGAAAAAATAATAAAGAATCGACGTTCATGAGTGTTAGATCTCTTTACAAAATATATATATTTTAACTTAGTAATTAACGAACTCAATCAAAGCACGGCCCACCACATTGTTTTTCGGCTTTTTTTTAAATGCTTCATTGTATGTTCTGTCGTTCACATAAACCAAAGAACCGCAAAAGGTCCAGATACCTCTTAGAAAATATATCGGAATTAGGAGTAGTAGCATGTATTTATTTGGCCCATAGAGCAGCTATGGGGAGGCAAGGAGCGGAGAAGTGATCTTGAAAGTTTACGATATGGAGGAAGTTGGTGAGATGAATCAAAAGGACAAGCACAGTGTGCCATTTTACAGGTTGTTCTCATTTGCTGATACTACAGACATCTTTCTAATGATTCTGGGGACTGTTGGAGCGCTGGGAAATGGAGCTGCTTTTCCTATCATGACAATTCTATTCGGAAAGATAATACAGGCGTTTGCAGGAGCTGAACAAAATAATGCCGTTACTCCAATGGTTTCAAAGGTACTTTTTCTTGATTTCTTTTTTTGAAAGTTTCTTTTTTTTTTTTTTTTTTTTTTTTTTTTTTTTTCTTTCTTTCTTTAGGGTATGCAAACAATATCTCGGATGAGAATTTTAGTTTTTATTATCATTGGTATCAGAACACCTTATGAGCCTGAAGATATATATATACGGGAATTATTTTGTGTTATATATAACAAAATACTACATCACGGGAGCCATGTTTTGAATCTTATATAGAATAAAGTGCTACACAGTGGGAGTCACATTTAGAATCTATCGGGGCTACCATTAGAATCTTACACCATGTGGATAATTATGGGTTTGTAATTTTAACAAGGATGCTGATTACTTAAGTGGAATAATTATTTTGAAGCACATGAGTATGATGAAGCTGAACACTTAACAACAAGGCCTTTTTTGATATAACGGTTAGAGTTTCATTAGAAACATCAAAATTATCGGTGATCATGTAGCAACACTTATAGGATGGGTGACTTTGTGGGCTGAAGCGCACAATATCTTGGTCGAAGAGTATAGGCTATAGCTAGATCAATTAATTTTTTTGTAATAACTCATTGTTTAAGAAATTTCACATGATGTTTAATTCTTGCTAACAACATTAAGTTGGTGGAAAAAGATAAAAACTATAAAAATAATAGTTTACCCAAGAACTATACTTTTAATTAAATCATCACTCATTGAATAAATCATGTTTCTTAGACTTCTTCAAAGTTGGTGATTATCAGAAAATAGTAGGCCGCCAAAAGAATTTATTAAAATTAGAACAGATTGAGCTAATTAATTGAGCATTTTAATGAACAAATCACTATTATTATGTCGGAATACATTAATGATTGGGAAATAAAGTTATTTTGAGATATATAGAGCTAGAAATAGACGAGTTATTGTGAGATATGTACTTCCTGACATAGAAATGAAAACGCAAATAACACAATCAAACACAGATCGTTTACGTGGTTCGATCCAACTGGATCTACGTCCACGGGAGGGAATCAATCAAATATTTCACTAAGGCAAAAAAAATGGAGAATACATAACTTATACATAGAGATGAGCCCTCATCTTCCTTCTATGGCCTCCCTCTCAAGCGACACTTTGATACAAGACCTCAAAATGCTCTCCTCCTCTCTAGCTCTCTAGTTATTCTCTCCTACTTCGTGGTAGCTTAAGATCTCTTCCATTGCACTTCTAAGCCTCACACTCTCTCTATTTATAGAAGCAAAAGAGTGGTAGGTGGGAGCTAGGTGAGCGGTAGGTAAGAGGTGGTAGGTGAGCGGTACCACATTACAAAAGTGCCCTTTTACCTTAGTTCAATAATTGGGGGTTAAAATAACAATTCTCCACCCTGAACCTCAATTGAGAAGCTTTGAAGTAAAGATTCCGTCCACCTGGCCCCTGAGGGGCCCTCAACCCTTGCTTGAGTTTGCTAAGTCCAAATAGTACATGGACTTAGCAATCACTGTTCTTCCGATAAGAGAGTACAGCCCCGCCCCTTTTTCCTCTTGTATGACGACACGAGGGCATTTGGTTACTCTGATGATTTGGTTACTC